TAAAAGGCAACGGACCTGGCTTGACACAGGCTTCGACCACGATATATCGGGTTCGATTTAACCAACAAAAAACTAAAAAGAAACGGACCTGGCTTCACACAGGCTTCGACCACGATCTTTGATCGGGTTCCAACATAAAACTAAACAAGCTTGCTTGAGCAAAAATGATTCGTCATAAAATTATCTGCCATAGGGCTTTTTGGAGACTTCTGCAAGGCAAATGCATGAAACGACGCATGAAACGGTGCATGAAATGTGCGTTTGATGCATGATGATAACAGGAAAATTTGTCTTGGATGCAAAAATAGAGTGAAATCACTTGCTTTTATAAAAACTTGGGATTGTTCAGATAGCTCGATCACCGCATTTCGCTTTCCTTCAAAAATCCTTTTAACTGGATCGAGAGTAACCAGAACAAATGGGACGACGACATTGCCCTGATAACTTTGTAATGTCGTACTTGCCCCAATGTTCCAGAGAACAAAATGTCCCTCAGGCTTTCTGTGCCCTTATGTTTGATTTCGAGTAACGCATAGCCTTGGAGACGTGAAAAAGCTACCGTCCTTCGTATATAGAAAGAGACGAATGGAGACCAGACTTTATAAATGACAAGAGACATACGTCTCAAAGATGTGGTTTAAATTTATAGGCTATAATAGAGAATGGATACACAAAACTGCCTTTCAAGCATAATATTGAGATCAAAGTGAAATTTTTTGAAATACATCATAAACTATGCATAATATTTTCGAACATGATCTGAGTTGACTGGATTTAAAAATTCAGTGCCATCCATGTTGGCCAGAACTAGTGCTCCTCCGGAGAAAGCCTTTTTCACGACAAATGGTCCTTCATAATTCGGGGTCCATTTGCCTCGATGATCTTTCTGTAATGGGAGAATTCTTTTTAGAACTAAATCTCCCTCTCTAAACCTTCTTGGGTGCACCTTCTCGTCATAGGCTTTCATCATTCTTCTTTGATAAAGTTGTCCTCTGCATAATGCCGTCAACCTCTTTTCTTCTACAAAGTTTAGCTGCTCATAACGTCTTTGGACCCACTCAGCCCTTGTAACTTAGCTTCCATGATAACTCTCAATGATGGAATTTCTACTTCAATAAGGAGAACAACTTCCATACCATAAACTAAAGAAAATGGCGTTGTCCCAGTTGAAGTACGGACTGAGGTGCGGTAACCATGTAAGGCAAATGGAAGCATTTCATGCCAGTCTATGTAAGTTACAGTCATCTTTTCAACTATTCTTTTTATGTTTTTGTTGGCGGCTTCTACTGCACCATTCATCTTAGGTCGATAAGGGGTTGAGTTGAGATGTTTGATCTTAAACTGCTCACAGAGCTCACTCATCAATTTGTTGTTCAAATTCCTTGCATTATCGGAAATTATGGTTTCAGGAAGACCATAACGACAAATAATTTTCTTCTTGATGAATTTGACTACAACTCCTTTTGTCACATCTCGGTAAGAAGCTGCTTCTACCCATTTAGTAAAATAATCTATGGCTACCAAAATGAATCGGTGCCCACTTGATGCTTTAGGTTCGATAGGTCCTATCACATCCATGCCCCACATAGAGAAAGGCCAAGGAGCTGTCAAAGTATGCAAATGAGAAGTAGGAGCATGAGTCTTATCCGAGTAAATTTGACATTTGTGACATTTTCTTGCATATTTAATACAATCTGTCTCTATAGTCAGCCAGTAATAGCCAGCTCTTAAAATTTGTCTAGCCATCATGTGTCCATTTGCATGAGTGCCACACACTCCTTCATGAACTTCTTCCATAATCCTATTGGCATCTCTTCCTTCGACGCACCTTAGGAGAACCATGTCATGGTTTCTCTTGTACAGTATCTCTCCGTTTAAGAAAAACTTCATTGCCAACTTGCGAAGGGTGCGCTTATCATTTTCTGAAGCATTTGGTTGATACTCTTTACTCTTTATATATTGCTTGATGTCATGAAACCAAGGGTTACCGTCGGGTTCTTCCTCAATGCTCATACAAGAAGCTGGGACATCTCTCCTCCCAACTTTAATCGGACGTACATCCTCATTGAGTTCTAAATTGAACATCACCGCTAATGTGGCCAATGCATCTGCTACTTGATTATTTTCTCTTGGCAAATAATCAAATGAGATTTCATCAAATTCTTGTGACAATTCTGTTATGAGTTGTTTGTAAGGCAACAACTTAACGTCTCTTGTTTCCCATTCTCCTCTTAGTTGATGAATTACTAGCGTAGAATCCCCAAAAACTTTAAATTTCTTAACCTTCATATCAATAGCAGCTTGGACGCCCATCGAGCATGCTTCATACTCGGCCATATTATGTGTGCAGTCAAAACATAATTTAGTGGTAAGAGGGTATAGTTCCCCTTTGGGTGATATCAAAATAGCCCCAATCTCATGACCTAACTCGTTAGAGGCACCATCAAACATCATGGTCCAACCCAATTCCATGACCTAACTCGTTAGAGGCACCATCAAACATCATGGTCCAAGTTTGCGGGTCTAAACTTTCCTCACTTGCAGTTATGGTGGAGATATACTCATCTGGAAAATCGAACTTTACCGGTATGTAGTCATTTATAGGTTGTTGAGCTAGGTAGTCGGCCAAAGCACTCCCCTTAATAGCCTTTTGAGTCACATAAACAATATCATATTCGGACAAGAGGACCTGCCACCTTGCAATTCGACCCGAGAGAGACGGCTTTTCAAAAATGTACTTTATGGGGTCCATCTTTGAAATGAGCCATGTGGTATAATACAACATGTATTGTCTTAGACGTCGAGCAACCCAAGCTAGAGCACAACAAGTTTTTTCTACTTGAGAGTATCTAGTCTCGCAATCAGTGAACTTCTTACTTAAATAATATATAGCCTGTTCTTTCCTGCCTGAATCATCATGCTGCCCCAGTACACATCCCATTGAGTTTTCAGTCACTGTGAGATACAAAATAAGGGGTCGTCCTGGAGTTGGTGGCACAAGAATTGGAGGGTCTTGCAAATACTGCTTAATCTTATTGAATGCTGCTTGACAATCTTCACTCCATACCCCATCGTTGTTCTTGCGGAGCAATTTAAAGATGGGTTCGCAAGTTGCTGTTAAGTGAGATATGAACCTTGCGATGTAGTTGAGTCGTCCTAGAAATCCTCTGACTTCTTTCTGCGTCTGTGGAGGTGGCATCTCTAAGATTGCTTTGACTTTATCCGGGTCAACTTTAATGCCTTCTTGGCTTACTACAAAACCAAGGAGTTTTCCAGTGGTTGCCCCAAATATGCATTTGTTGGGATTGAGTTTCAATTTGAACTTCCTCAATCGATCAAACAACTTCCTTAAAATAGTTGTGTGCTCCTCGCCCTGTTTTGACTTGGCAATCATATCATCCACGTAAACTTCAATTTCTTTGTGCATCAAGTCATGAAAGAGAGTAACCATGGCACGCTGGTAGGTTGCCCCAACATTTTTTAGCCCAAATGGCATAACTTTGTAGCAGAAAGTTCCCCATAGCGTAATGAATGTGGTTTTTTCACGATCCTCAGGTGCCATCTTGATCTAATTTTAGCCTGAGAACCCACCCATAAAGGAGAAGGTTGAGAACCCAGCAGTATTATCAACCAGCACATCGATATGAGGAAGCGGGAAGTTGTCTTTTGGACTTGCACGATTCAAGTCTCTATAATCAACACACATTCTTACTTGTCCATTTTTCTTTGGTACGGGGACAATGTTTGCCACCCACTCAGGGTAATTAGATACCGTAAGGAACCCTGCATCGATTTGCTTCCTTACTTCATCCTTTATCTTGATCAACATATCTGGCCTCATTTTCCATAACTTCTGTCTCACCGGCTTGAACTCTGGGTTGATCGACAATTTGTGCACTACGATGTCTGTATCTAAACCAGGCATATCCTGATAGGACCAAGCAAAAACATCAGCATACTCATGAAGTAACTCTATCAACTTTTTGCGACTCTCTGAAGACATATGAGTGCCTATTTTAATCTCTTTGGCTTCGGCTTGTGATCCCAAGTTAA